TATCATCCCAATGCAATAACAGTTCAGTAACGGAATCAACTCATATTTAGTCAAACAATGAAATACCAAATCAAACAGCTTCAACAAGTATACTACACAAGGTACCAAACACCCAGCAGTCATCAAGTTATCCATTATCAAATCCAAGCATATCACCTACACCTACAAATCTCCATGACAAAGAAATTACTAACGCTCCTACTCATAACAACACTTTCAATCAACCTCATTCAGTAGCAATACCGTTTTCACAAACTTCGGAATCAATATCCTCCAGTCTATTAGCTCCTTTTTCATTAGATACAACTGCAGAAAATTCTAATAAAACTGATACATCAAGACATTTTTCTGAAACAACCATTTCAACCAATCTTACAAATAAAACTTCAAGCTCGAGTTCTGTCACTACCAATGAGTTTGCTTCAGTACTTCCAAATGTAATAAAGCCACAACATTTAAGTGAAAACTCGAATAGCAATTACGAAAACGCAAGTTCTTCCATAAAACGCAGTATTGGTGAGATCGTCACGCCTCCTTCAAACTCAGTAATTTCATCAGAAAATCTGTTTGCAAAACCCAAACCCTCTAAACCAAAAAAACCGCGCTCATCTAAAGTCCCATCTACACGAGAAACTCTTAAAAATTTCATTGATAATCATACCCCACCATTCGTTTTAAATTACCACCAATTGTCCTTACTGATTGATAATGTCCAAGGCTCCTCCGACACTAGGGAGTTTTTGTGCAAGCAAATACGTATACGTAACGTATCTTTTTGACATATAAGCATGCGCATTAATGGTTGAACTAACGTATCTAGATACGTCTTACCTAACGTAACGGGCTGATACGTTACGTTCATACGCATCCCTATCGAGCCGAAAGTAACCGAATGCTCAGGGGATCTTACCCGATTACCAAAATATCAACATTTCATCACATTTGTGGTTAAGTATATTTGTTTTGATTTTTATAAATAATGGAAAGCAGTAGAAAACGATTTCACTTCAGCAATGAAAATGATTTGTTATTGTTGAAGGAAGTCGTAGGCCAGAACCCTTACGATTATCCAGAAAGGTGGAATCTAATCCAAAAGTGAAAAATATTTTTACATACATTATATATAAGACATGGTATAAATTAAAGTGGCCGTATGGACGTGCAAGATCTGGAGAAGAAGCGCATTTTCTAGGTCCTTGTTTTCTTCATCATCAATAAAAGCACCTAAGTTTATTATTGCATCCACCACCAAAATTAAAATTGTTAAAAAAATATTTATTATTATTTTGAATATCAAAAATAGGGTTAAGTGACAAGGACAACAGTGGCACTGACAACTTATTAGTTTGTCACTATTTCGATGAGGGCAACACCATCGTTACGTTACGTGCAGAACAAAAACTCTCAATTTAACGTTCATCTTTTTCGATGCGTTAGTTCTTTACGTATAGGGAGATACGTTACGTTAGGTAGTTACAAAAACTCCCTACTATTAGCGTCGTCAAAGAATTTACAACTGATATGGATGGTTTACTCCATCTTTTACAAAGCAGCTATCAATATGCAAATGATAGATCTACAAAAAGCAAGTTTACAAAACTTCAAAAGAAACTATACAACCATTTAGAGAAAGAGATTGGTGACTTAGATAGTAACTCTTCTGTAGACAATTGTTTTGTATCATCTAACTCCGAATCTGTTAACAACATTTAACTCAATACTTTAATGGAACATTGCTGGATTTTTTCATCGTCTCCCTATGCTACAGCTTCTTTTATCTAAATATTCTCCAGATATTATTATTTCTTATGAACATGGAAGAGGCGTCCAATTTTTATGGGTTCCCTCACACGTCGGAATAACAAGAAATGAAGAAGCTGACAGGACTGCACGAGAGGCAATTTTAAGTGATTTGTCAAAGCCGATAGACAAGTGTGTTTCCAGTGACTTAGAAGCTTATTTTAAAAATAAAGGTTGGTGTTTGTGGCAAAATAAGTGGTCTCAAACTAATTCCAATCTAAATAAAATCAAAAATAATGTGTCTCAGTGGTTTCCATCGTCGCGCAATAGACGAGAACAAATTGCGATTGCGCGTTTACACCTAGGGCATACCAGATTAACGTACTCCTACCTTTTCACAAAGAAAAATCCACCTATATGTGATCAGTGTCACGTCCGATTAACAGTCGAACATTTTTTAACAATTTTTAGTAAATATGACCAAGAAAGACAGCGCTACAAGATCCCAAACGCTCTACGTCAAAACTGTTTCTGTAACAATATAGTGAATTATCTTAGATCCATAAACATTTTGTACAATCTGTAGGTGTTTAACTTTGTTTTTTATATTTCGTTCCGTCGCTAATAACCTTTTGGTGGATGCGACATATTTTTCTAATAAAAAAAAAACAAAAAGTGACGCGCCAAATAAGTTTAGTTTAGTGCAAAGTAATGACTGAGCGGAGGTGTAAATGGGATACAAAAAATAATTAAAGACAAATATCCATTTGCAAACTATGCACAGCATAGATGAATCAGCAGTGCGGCTTCACTTAATGCATGTTCCGATTTTTTTTTCGCCAATGTAACTGAGATTGTTTCTTTTTTTACTACATCACCTCAAAGAATAAAGGTATTGAATAAGATAGCTCAAAAACGATTACCACGATCCTCACAAACTAGATGGAATTTTCATTCACGTAGAGTTATTAGTTTATGAATACCGAAATGAGCTGCATATTCCTTGCCTTATTTTCATAATTCTTTATCCATGCGGTCACATAATTATACATATTGTCCGTTCGACCTATCCCCTTATCTGACCTATAAACGCGTCTAAATTACTCATTGGAAATAAATAATTTGATGAGTAAATATCTTAATATTTACCGATAAAAAATTGCTCTTATCTGGTTTTTCATATATTAACTTCACTGCCCTAATCGTAACATATGCCAAACGCTATTTTAAAATAACATCTACTCTTGAATCACATTTGATTCATAGGTGTACATATCAGGGACACTTTGAATCATATTATGATTCACCAATCGCAAATATGTTATTTACAGTTTAAAATGTGTAAGTTCTCAGTAAGATATATTTTAAAAACGACTTGCGATGTGAATATCTAAACGTCATATAATCAATTATTTTAATTTCCAAAAAAATTTGTGTAAATAGCATTCTTGATTTAAAAAAGAGGTACGTACAAGAAATAGAACTCAATAATTTCCTCAGGTGTCTCAATACACCTTTATGTATTATCAACAGTCTAGAAGCATTGCAACGCTTAGTAAATAGATTACATCAAGCTAGTATCAAATATGGACTACAAATGAATGTTAAGAAAACAAAGTTCATGATTATTTCTAAGCAACATACAGTAGGAAGGTTAGATATCGAGGGAAAACAAGTAGAAAGAGTGAATAACTACAAATATCTGGGAACCTGGGTAAATGAAAACAATGATCAAGGTAAAGAAATAAGGACACGCATTGAAATTGCAATACAAGCATTTATAAAAATGAAAACAATGTTTGTCAATCGAGACCTTCCCCTGGAACTGAGGATAGGAGCCTTAAGATGCTATGTGTTGTATGGAATTGTGAGACTAAGACTTTGTTGTATGGAATCGGAAGCTGGAGACTAAAAGCGGATAATATAAAGAAATTGGAATCATTTAAGACGTGGTGCTATGGAAGGATTTTGAAACTACCATGTACGCAACTAGTTACAAATGCAGAAGTGTTAAGAAGGCTACAAAAGGATTGCGAGGTCATAAAGCACATCAAAACAAGAAATCTGGAATATTTAGGCCACATTACCAGAGGTGCGATATCTGGGATATTAAGGCTCATAATGCAAGGTAAAAGATCCATAGGAAGACAAAGAATTTCCTGGCTGAGAAACCTTAAGATAGTGGTATAGTTGCAGCGCAGTAGATCTTTTTAGAGCAACCGCCAATAAAGTATGGATAGCTGTGATGATAGCCAACCTCCGATAGAAGGAACTACAAGTATTATCCAACAGTATATGGTCCCAGACCATTGTCAGCATCATAATGGTCTCATATACCATTTCTACCAACCTAGTTTTTTTTCTAATATCCCATTTTAATCATTGATGTATCTATTGTTGTATATTTTTATCTAAGTAAAATTCGAATGCACAGACATACATAATACCTCTTAATAATTGACCTTTCTTTTTTTCCTTCTCAACATATCATTTCTATTATAATTTTTAATGTCATGTATTTTTTTATCATTACTGATTTTCCAAAAACTAAATGTCCACAGTATTGTAAAAAATGGATTATTCAGTAGTAAGCGGATATTTTTTTGGATAGGTAACTAAAACAATGTGTGAGAGTTTTGAAAAATTTATTGATATCTGACATATACTTCGACAGATACAACAGAAAACAAATAGAGCTTGGTAGCAGTTTTTATTTTAATACATATACATTTATATATAGCACATCCAAAGTGAGTGGTTTACGGTAAACAAGGTACTTTAGGGGAAGGGGCAGATATTGGCCCATGTAATGGAGTGCAAAATTAAGTTGGCAGACTAAATGTAATTAAATAACTGACTCAAAATAAATGATAAGGGTAAACACATACTCAGCGGCTTCAACAAAAGCTTTCAATTAGTTGGTAGTTTCTAAACAAACCAAACAGTTTATCAAGTGATTTGTGCAGTGACCCATATAGTTTTCAAAATGGGTTAAATCATGCGACAGCATATTTTTTCTTGTAATTGTTTGAACTGCACTAACGTTTGTAATAGTGAGAAATATTGAAGTATTGTCTATTAACTTCTATAAAATCAAGTAAAGATTGTTGATCTGCATATTTGTTCTACAAAATTATATTTATCCACAACAATTCCAACTCATAAAAAAAATTTTGGTTAAAACCGCTGTATCTGCCTTTACCCCGAGAGGTAAGTTCTGGAGAAGTTCAACAATGAACAAATACAAAATAAAAAAGATAACCTAAAACAATGTTATTAAATAATAAATGTAATAGTTAACAAAGTTACAACTTAAAAGGTGCTAAAATTTCAAAGTAATTTTCAAAATTCTAGAAGGAGATAAATATACATTTAATATATAAAAAATTAAAAACCATTACAGTATTGAATATATATATATATAAAAAAAAACAAAAGTTGATGCAGAAGAATTGACATTGAATCACACAACAATCACAGAAATGAATATATGTAATCATATTGTTTCGATCACCAAACTATATGACTACATTTGGTTTTTATGGCTTAAATTACTTGTTGCGAAAAGTATGATGGTTGTGTGATAATGTGAAATATAAATTTAACGATTTACATATCTCCTAAAACATTTTAAATATCGAAGTTTCAGCAGGATGAAACTTAAAACTGTCAATGAAACTTCACAACCAAGTTCCACGAATACGTCAACTTACATGAAATTTCATTATTAACGAATAATTGTTTAAAAAATGACGCTCCACACTTTTAATTATCACCAGCCTCTTGAGGCTCATCAGCTTCACCCTGTAACCAAAAATCATCATGAAGACAATGGAATTCAGAAATATAGCAATAAATATAAAATCTAGATTTTCAGCTCTTGAATATTAACAAATCAGAACATGAAACACAAGAAAAATAGTGATATATTTTTCTTGTTTACTCATATGCCCTTGATAAAAAAATTGTTGATTAATATCATGTGCATTTAACAAGTAATGTGTCATGAATTATCAATATAATTAACGTATCTAATAATGACAAATTATATGAGCAAATCAAAAACTATGCAAATATGGATCTGTAATGTTCATACTATTTGCAAACTGAAAAAACAAATAACCATAGGTATGAATGACGTCATTATTTATTCAATTAACAGACTGAAGGTATAATCTATTCAAATATTTCATTTAGCATATTTAAGAGTACCATTTTCGAAAATGAGGTTCTTAAAAGAAGTGAATATAAAAAAAGACACAATTGAAATGAAGCAAATATTTTAAAGAAAAATATCACGGGTAGTAACAGCAAAGAGTAAGACATAAAAAAATAGACCATAATTTCACAATGTCTGATTAAGTATATGAACCAAAAATTTTGAGTACATGCAAAAAAAAACAGTCAACTACTTAAATAAATAATAAAATTGTGGATTTGCACCTAGTTCACAATGTTTATTACACTTTAATGTTACATACCTGCGTGTCACTCGTCCATAGTGTGAGGTTGTCCCGGAGAAGCTGCATAATAAGGGTACTGTCCTTATATGAGTCTTCGTTAAGCGTGTCCAACTCGGCTATTGCATCGTCAAAGGCCTACATATAATACAGTGTTATTAAAATATTCTATAAAAAATCTACAATGTCGCCTTATTCCACACGATAATTGAAAAAAATAATAATAAATTTCTACAGTTGCTATTTTATTATCTATATTTAATAGTAATATTAGAATGTGATTCGAAAATGAGAGACAAAATTTGCAGACAGACAAGTAAAGTCAGAATTAATAAATTTTTAAAATTTGCAGATCTATGAATAGATATCTGATCACAAGATAAGCTTGGGCATTAAATAAATTTTTCTACAAGGACTATGGTAAATGTAATATAGTTATAGAAAACAAACCTACAATTTTAATTAAGCAAATTAATAAACTACCATTTACATACAGATTTTCAATTTAAATGTATATATTTTTTTTATTCATTGTGAAGTAAATTATTGTCTATAAACTAACTCTTGAGTTTAACATTTTTGTTTCCTTTTTGTACCCATTTCCAATTCTTGGAAATTTGATATCATTTGTTTCTAACAAAATCCATCTATAAATGTTACAAAAGTCTGCTTTGGATCAGATAATATCTAAAAGATTGTGCTCACTCAAACGACATCAAAACATAGTTTTTTTAGTAGCAACATTGATATAAAAAAATTTAATTCAATAAATTCAGACTGAAGTGGCGTGATTTCACAGAATGCATAACTTCTCCAGTCAGTTAAACTGAATTAAGCTTAGAGCTGCCTATAAATAATAAAAAAAAATGGAAAACATAAATATAAGCAATGCATTTAAAGATATGTAGAGAAATCCGGGTAAGTGTTAATAATTAGCATATTAAGAATAAAGAGTACAAAAATTATGGTGAGAAAGTGATATCATGCAAACAGATGACCGAAAGGAAAAATCTGGATCATGGACAAAATAGAAATATAAACTAGAAGAAGTAATGTAGAAAGCTTAGAAAAAATATCATCTTAATTAATACTTGTAATGAGAAATCTGTTTTAATTTAAATATCCACAGACTATTTTGAACACCTCACAAACTTATTATATCATAAAATTGGTTTTAAATTCTTGTATGACACTATTAATACACTGTAATTGTTAAACTCAAGAGATTAGCTTTGTGTGGAATCAGACGACTTAAAATTTGAGGATGTATCAGAAACATAATTATTCTTATTTTTAAAGATACTGTTGAGACAAACATTTTCAATTTTGAGTGAGAAAAACATTTTCAATTTTGAGACGATTATATACTAGAGGATATAATGAACTACACAACTGGTTAACATCTAAATATTTGATTTTTTTCTGATACAACCTCACAAGCAAACCCATAAGCACAAATCTTTTTGAAACAGAACAAAATGAATTTGCCAAAAATTTCTACATTCATGATTTTGGGTTACTGTTCAAGCATTTATGTAGTTAGTAAACAGGCAGAATTACATCACAAAACTGGCAAATGTTAATACTCGCAAATGTAGAACTAAATAGAACCTAAAATAATACACACAAATAAAAAAAACTAATAACCTGTTTGGCTAAGTGACAAGCTCTCGGAGGTGAATTTATAATTTCGTAATAAAACACAGAGAAATTTAGGGCGAGTCCTAGCCTAATAGGATGGGTAGACTGCATTTTTGACTTAGCTATGTCAAATGCTTCTTGATATGCCTTTTGAGAATCTTCTACAACTTCTACACAAGAAAAACGTAAATTATTTTAACACCTACAAGATTTTTTTATAAAAAGATAAAATAAAGAACATGCTAAACAATTGCCTTCCATGTAATTCTGCCCCGCTGTAAAAAAGAAATATATATTAATAATGACCTGTTTAGCTAACTGGCAAGCTTTGTCTGGTGAATTTAATATCTCATAGTAAAACACTGAGAAGTTAAGTGCCAGTCCCAACCTGATTGGATGTGTAGGTGTCATTTTCGCCTTAGAGATTTCGAATGCATCTTGATAAGCTTTTTGTGAATAATCGACGACAGCTGGAAGTTAGAATTAAGCAAAGTTTATGCAAGAAAATAAAATTCGTAAGTTTAAATACATAATAAATAGCAAGAACAAATATGAGGTAGGCACCAAAAGTTTCCTATTTAGCCCAATATGTAACTAACAATAAATTTTTATCAGTGCAAAGTTCAAGAATTAAAAAAAGCATTATGTATTGTCTGGAAGGGGGGACTATAGATGAATTTACTTGCTTAGTTTAAAAGAGGAAAAGAGGAGTTGATATAATTCTTATGAATAGTATTATAATTGATAAATTATTAAACATGTTTACTATACCAGGTTAAAAATGTATGGAACCTACCTCATAAGTTTGAAATATATCAAGTTAAAATATTTTTGCTGAATTTGGCTTGAAGTATTTCAAATTATCCTGAAATGAATACAAGATTGAATATTGAACATTGAGAAATCTGAAAGAAGTTTTAAGAGTCTAGAAATAAGAGGTAAGAATTCCCTTGATTAAATAATATAGTAGGATAGAAGGTCTTTTCACTATTTCATTCACAGAATTCTCAAAATAAAACTTTTGTATCAGTAGGGGAATTGTAATTTTACTGCCAAAAAGGAAAATGAAAGTTCACAACATCTTTTATCTACCATCTAGGTACACTCACATTTAGGATATAATAATTTAGATATGACACAGTAAATATGTGAATTTTAAACCTACTAAGGTCTGTAAAAGCCTTCTCTGTAATCACTTGTCCATTCCTTATAAGACTACCTACTGTTGTCTAAAAATGATAATTTTATTATACAATATAAACATTAAATACAAGGAAGTACTAATCTACCCAAAAAATATTGCAGAATATCTGAAAGTAATAAATCAAACTGTTTAGCTAAGAAATGAAATTAGTATCACTATTCAAAATCTTATGTAGTTCTCAAAATTTTAAATAAAAGTCAAAAGTTCTATTTATAGCTAGTTATAAAATGATTGGAATTTAATAAAAAATACATTGCATTTAGGTATGACATGAAATTGTATCATAATGGAGAATGCCATTCTCCAAATTTTAAATAAAAAGCAATAAACATTATTTATAGTTATAAAATGATTGGAATTTAAAAATTAATTTTTAAACCAGTTGTTTATACTGATATATATCAACAGTTAAAATACATTCTATAGTGACAAAAATCATTATCCTAATAATATAAATGAATTTAATATAACTTTTTAGCTAATTAATACTTCATTTTTTCCTTGAAACCCTGATATAGTACATAATTGATGTTCATTTATTTACTGTACTACTGTACAGCTGGTTATAACGAACAACCCTGAAAAACTATTAATGAACTTTTGATTTTGAACATTGATTTCAAAAACTTTAACAAAGAAATACAACAATTCAAACAACTTACTGTTCCTAGTGTCGCCGGTGGCTACTTCTGCGAGGTACCTATAGTAATCTCCCTTCATCTTGAGGTAGAATACTTTAGACTCTGCATTGCTGGCTTTTGGGATAAGGTATTTGTCCAATAGTCCCTGTAAAATTATTAGAATGACTCACCTGCACATAAATAGTAATTTGAATTTTACTGTTATACTATATATCAGTTTATTATAATGTCATCAAGATGACTCGGAAGAACGAAAGTTATAATAGAAAGTTACATCATTTATATAAAAAGTATGACTTGTTTCTAAAATGTGTATTTCACTCTAGTAAGAAGTTATTGGAAAACAAGGAAAATATACTTACTAAGACATCATCGCAGATTTCTCGTAACTCTTTTTCAACTTTTTCTCTATATTCTCGTGCCATCTGTTGCTTCCTCTCTGATCCTTCAGTCTTTTGTTCAATTGAAGAAATAACTCTCCAAGACGATCGCCTGGCACCTACCACATTCTTATATGCGACTGATAGGAGATTCCTTTCTTCATTACTGAGTTCAACTCCTGTCTCGGTAACTGATTTCATTGCCGAGGCCATATCATCATAGCGTTCAGCTTGCTCAGCAAGCTTGGCTCTTTGAACTAATTCATCTTTATCAGGAGCAGACATTTTTCTCTAATTCTAAATCTGTAAAAAATAATGCAGCAGTGAAATAAATGAAGAAACTGACTTCCTAACAACAGAACTAAATCAATCATTTATCCAAATTTATGAAAATATGTAAATGAAATTTGTACTTCTGGGCCAAAAGACTTGCTTTGGAAGTACCAATAAATGTTTCCTCTGTGGTTGGAGATCAGGTAAATCTACTCCAGCTGACTATTGCCCTTTATTAAAATTACATATACAGTACTTTCGAGAATTGGAATGGATTCCATTTATACAGGTTTCCTTAAAGCATTTTTAACACTGTATTGATAATAAATGATAAAAATTCTTATGCTTTGTAGTTAACTCTTTATAACTAATTAACTAGTTACATAAACAGTGTAAAATATATAAATATCTGACCAGGTATGTCATAGAAATAAAGTCCAGAAGACTCCAATGGACAGGACACCTCAGAAGATATTCTGAAGAGCTAACAGTAAGACTGGTGTGGGAGCAAGTTCCAACTGGAAGGAGACCATGTGAACACCCTCGTCTTCGATGGCGAGATAATATAGCAGGAGACCTAAGCACTATGGCCGTGGAGAATTGGATGGAGGTTGCTCAAGACAGAAAACAGTGGAAGCATGTGGTCGAGTCGGCTAAAACCCACGAAGGGTTGTAATGCCATGGAGTAATTAAGTAAGTAGGTATGTCATTACCTATATCAGTTTTAATTACTTTATAAATAATATATTTCTAGAACCAACAAACACTTTGAAAGAGTTAGCTGTATTTTTTGATCCCACTTTACATTTCAAAAATCACTATAATTTTATTTGTAATAAAGCTTTTAAATTACTTGGATTTTTGAAAAGAACTTTGTCAGGATTCAATAACCTAGATTGTTTTAAAAGTGTGTATTGTTCTATGGTTAGATTAGTCCTGGAATATTCCAGCACTATTTGGTCTCCTTTATATAAATGTCATATTGAAAACATTGACAAAAATCAGAAAAAATTTCTGTGCTTTGTAGGCTATAAATTGGGGATTTCTTCAGAAGATATAGTGTATTGAGATATAGTGTGACATTCAACATTAGAAAATCATTATTTAATCCTAAATTTGGTTTTTCTTTTCAAGATTGTAAACAGAATGATAGATTCGCCTCAAATTTTGCAGAAAATAGGTCTTAGGGTTCCTCAAAGGTGCAGAATATCTAAGGACATTTTTCACCTAGAATTCCAACAAACAAACTGTTGTCTAAATAGACCTATAAGACAAATGTGTCAATCTGAAAATGGCTTAGATGTTGACTTTTTTCTAGCTCTCAATAGTTTTCTCAGTAGGCTGTCATTATAAACTGTCATTTAGGTATTTATTCTATTTATTTTGTCTTGTGTAAATTGTATGTAATTATTATTGAGTTCTAAAACTGTTAATATGATATTCATTATTTAATGATTGTAATTGATATAATCGTAAATAAACTATTTATTTATCACTTGGAGTCTCACTATCACACAAGGCTCATACATAGGCACATTTCTATTTAATTTATTCATTCATGATACAGACTAAAACTTGACACTCAGCAATTTCTGTTCATCACTGGTGATTTAAAACTGTTGTTTAAAAATGGATTGAAAGTAACAAGTGAGGATTGATATTACTTCTGCAATTAGTGTTAATTACTTGCATGTTTCAATTTAAACTTATAAGAAAATGCTGTATCTAAAACGAATTGAGCATTGCAATCTGTTAATAAATATTCAAAGATCAACAAACTAAAACTAAATGTGTTAAAGATAAAGGCTATGATAATAACAACTAAATACAAATACTCAAATATTGATATTAATACTATTAATCTTCAAATTGACAATGACAAAATAGAAATCATCACAACAATTAAGTACCTTGGTTCTCAATTGAATAATTTATTGTCTTTTAATGACCATTTTAATTACATATTAAAAAATATTTCTAAAAAATTATACTTTTTTTTCAAGAATATCTAAAAAATTTGTCAACTTCAACTAAACTTAGTTTTTTAATGCAATTATTCAACCTCACTTCAATTTTTGCTCGTCAGTTATTTTTCTCTTCAATTTAAATCAATCGGCCCAGTAGCAAAAATTACAAAATCTTGGAATGAGAATCATTCTTGGTGGAAACAGATATACACCTATAGCAACAATGCTTAGCATGCTGCAGTGGGTTTTAGTTCAACAAAGGATCTTTTACCTTACAATGGTATTAATTTATAAAATTCTAAATAATTTGGTCCCTTCTTACTTTTGTGAGTTATTACACAGAATTGTGATATTCACAATTACCCTACTTCAGTTAAGTGCAATTTACATATTGTGAAAACAAAAAGGACAGTTTCAAGAAACTCTTTATTGTTTAAGGGTTTTGATCTTTTTAATAAGCTTCCTCAAACAGTTAAAAGTTATTCATATATACAAATGTTTAAAAGCAAATTAATGGACCATATTAAAAGCACCAATAGTTAGGCAGTTGTTTTGTTGTCATGTTTTATGTTATATATTATTGTTTTATATTTTTTAATAAGTGTAGATACTATATTTTAAGTGTAATTGTTATTTTATCTTATATATGAAGATTATAAATTGACTAATTTTGTATGTATTAGGGCTTTCCCTATTTTTGAACAAATAAACTTCTTTAAAAATATCCTTGAACAAAGTGATATATCCATTCGCCTCAAGTTAAACATGAGTTATGATGTGTTTTACTTAAATCATACAAATTAAATGCACTAACATCTAAATACTGATAAATGTTTTTCTATATTGTTTTTATAGTCAAGAAAGTTAATTCCATTTAACTACAACAGAATATTAGTAAAGAGGTGAGATAAGAGATTTTTATGACAATTTTTTAAGTTTTGTTCCCCAAATTCTGAAGCTGACAAAATCCATTGCAATTATTGGAAATTATCTCAGAAACCTCTCATGACCTATCAATTGCTGCTTTTAGGTGACATTCCACTACACTTATATAAAGTGTTTGTTTTTGTGTTTTCTCTTATAGTTCATAATAAATTCTAAATAAAAACTTATGCATATAGTGGCAATCCTCGACTATCCTATATTGCCAATCATTTTCTTCCAGATTTCTTTCCCTCATTGTACCTTTGATTCCTTTTTTCCATCTTATTTTTGTTCATCCATATTTCCTTCTGTTTGCAGATATTTTAACTCTGGCTATCTATTATCGCTCATTATTTCCATGTGTTCATACCATCTTCGTGAGGTTATTTTAAAGACTGTTACTGTTACTTCCATGTGGTCTACCATAATTCATTTTCTATTTTCCAGCTTTGATATTCTTCCGTTCTTTGGTTTTTTTATTTGATTTGTTACTCAAAGATTTTTCTGTAATTGTAGGTTTTTGTTATTGCATTGAATTCATTTTCAACCAGTGTTTATGGTTTTGCTGACTGGAAGAAGAACTTTGACTGGCTCAATCACAACAATGATAGTGTCTTAGCAACTGGTGGAAATTGACCAAAACCTCTGAATTATCAAAAAATTGTGTTTTCATAAATGTGCAGACATCAGAATTAATCAAAATTATAGCAGTATTGGAGAAGTGAAGCAGATGTGTATTTTGTCATCTTAACTTTTTAACCAACAACCTTTGATAATTGGACATGATACTAGAATTAGAAAAAACCTTTGCATATTCATTCAACGGTGGATATAAGATGAAATGGGACCACAACTGGTCATAAAGACTTTTTGATACAGTAAAGATCTACATATAACTGTGACAATGCAGAACATTATGTAACACAAGAAATGTAAACATTTTGAATATTTACATGAATACTGATGGCTTTCTACATAGGATCAATAATTGCACAAATAATGAGGTCTAACAGAAAAAAATTATGTTGCCCCTTTTTTTTATATAGTTTCGAGTTGTAAGGTAGATCAAAAGAAACATGTAATGAAACTTAAGTAATTACGATCATAACAAAAAACCTATGTACAACAGAAGTTTCTCTGGTTAATACCACAGAAAATTTATTGCTAGATAAAAAAAGTCAAATCCTGGAATGCTGAATAAGTCAGAAGTGCCATTTTACATATATTTCACTGTAATATATTTTCTGCATACTACCCCTTAAAAAACAAAGTAGAAACAGTAGGTTTTTAATGCTACTGACAGTTTGCACTATTTAGTACTTGAGTTGTTTTGTAATTTCTTAGAGAAGTTTAAAATGATAAAAAACAAATCTTATGTACAAATTTACCTCCTGCATTATTCAATTGATAAAAAGAATACAGTAAATATCATTAGGTATATCTTTTATAAACATATTTAAACACTTTTTTGATATCTTATAATTAAATGATATTTAAAATTATTACTAATAAGGTAGTGTGAGATCAGCAACAATCCATTTTCAGTTTTCCAGGTGCTATAATTTTTTAACTTCATATTTTTACTCATATTCACAAAATTTACCTTATAGCTTATCTACAGTTTATGTTAAGAAACACTGAGAACCTGCAAAATGCATAATCGAAGAGAACAAAATATTGTTTGAAGATAATAAGCATTAAAATATGAAATGTTCACCTTATATACCTGGTTACCACCCACCTTAATAGGTGTGCACATCTTGAATATAAGGTAACTGAGACAAAACAATTGTGAGAATTTTGATTAGAATTGTTTATTAATGTTACAAAAATACAAAATTAATGATATATGCAGTATTTCTATTTTTACCATTTTAAAAATGAACTTTGGGAAAAGTTAATTCAACATAATGAATTATATTCAATATATGCACACAGTTCTCAATTCAGTATGTTCATTACATTTGAAAAGTCTGCAATTAATCAATATTAGCAATATCAAATTAAGAATGTAAGTAATGCAAGAATTAGGGAGATATTTTAACAAGTGAGAATAGCCCAATTGATTGAATTTTTTTGGCAATGACTAATAGACGTGGGCTCAATCGCAGGTTATGATATATTTCCACAAAATCAAAATTTTAGTAGAAATCTATTAATAGAACTATTATATTTACCAGCAAGTAAGTCGATAGATAAAATATTTCCACCCTCTAATTGATATTCCAGAAGACCGGTCACAATATCTTTCCAGGCACTAACACCGATGAAGATAAAAGTCGACTACCGCGCTAGTCACCACGCCACCGGCAAGAGATTGACAATATGGCGTCAGCCACACCTTTTACTCTAATGCGTAGTTATAACATTTTTCATATCGTGAACGGTTTAAACGTTTCCTAAAAGGTTTATAATTCTATGTAAATATGATCCACTACAGGAATATTATCAAAAAAGATGCAAACACATTGGGTTATCGATCGCCCACTGGATCTACTTATTGATGATGCACGGGAAAAATATTTCACTTTCTGAACTCTGAACTGTCTAGAATTTTAACTCTTGTATTAATATCGTTATAAATAGAATTAGGAAAACGCACACAAAAAATTAATAATGGCTTTTAAAATGTTATCACCAAAAATCACGAAAGATTTCAATGTTGAAGGTCAATATTCCCTAAGACCAAAAAACTTAAGGGGAAAGCTTTAGACTCACAAAATTACATATTTTCTTATAAAACAATTCACTGATAAAATATTTATCATATACTTACAGTTTGATTCAATAAATAGTAAGATTTTATAGCAGCCGACGCTACACACACTACTTTCAACAATGAATAGACTAGATCAGCGATCACGAGTGACGAAGTGACGAGCGAGCGAGAGACGATCGATGAAAACGAAAACTCGTAATGCGCGATTCACCATCTGACTCGATTTGTTAACGATTCCACCGGTATTCGATTGATAGGTATTTGATGCCGGTCGAAAAAAAAAAATGAATTCGATTAATCGTCATCAAATCAAACCAGTGTTGCTGCTGGTATTGAAAATCGGAAAAATAAGAGAAAACCAGTCATTTATCTCTACATTTTGACACATAACGTATATTTAAGGGAATATATCAGAATGTCACTATTAATTAACTCCACGTTTTAGTGCAAACATATTTTGCTAAAATATTTATAGTATTTATTCCTTTTTGTTACTTATATTTATAATACTTTATAATTATAAATTCATCACAGTTTATATCGAATCGAACTAGTTTTGTTTAATTTTTTTCGTTTTAAAGTTCGTATTATAATCTAAGCAAAGACCGAATTTCAGCCCTCTATAATCAAATTTCGATTGTTGAAACATCGAACAATCTCGGGCAACTAAGAATAGTAAGAACTAATAAAAACGTCTATATTTTTATCATGGCGACTGGTAGAAAGTGACCATCTGATCAATATTTTTACAAATATAATTGTTACATACATGCATGCAAAAAATACACTAAATATTTCATACTTACACTTTTACCTCCAAATTATTCAGCTACTTTATTAATAAATGTTGAATATACTTCTGCTAAGCTCTATTAAACAGCCCGGTAACAAAAACTGAGACAGATGAAAGAACCTACTCCACAAATAGACTACACAACACCGAATTTACACGAACCAAGCATTCGAGTCAATAACTATTCAATCTTTCGATTCATCCGAATAATCCAGCGAAGATCGATTTTTTTAAGGCAAATTAGGAACAGGAATATATTCCCAAAAATATTTAAAAAATAGTACACTAGTAATAGTGCACAATAATAAATGGAATTTATATAAAGGGATTTATTAGTTTATATTTATGAAGAGTTTACGACCATATTACCAAAGAATATAGACGCTATATTCTTTGATATTACTGTATTAACGATTATTTCAGTTTACCAAATTAAAAAGATAATAATGTATATGTATATTAAAAGCGTTTTTCATTTGTGGGAATCTTTTGTAATGTTGGTATATGGCACATTATTTAAGCATTTCGTATATTTTTATATGGTTTGGAAACGATATAATTTCAAACAGATTTTGAGAAGTCAATCAAGTTGTGTAAAGCGCAACGTGCAATACGTAAGCGTTATTTGTCATTTGTCATCCTTTAGTTTTATCAAATCTCAAATGAAATGTTAAAAATAAACATTTAATTTTTTATAAAGACTACAGTTTTAATTTAAAATTAAAATGTTAGGACATAGTTTAAAATGTTTGTTGGTAAGTAAATAAAATTAACTTTTGAAAAGCGTTATGATTAATTGATAATATTGTAAATTATGCATTAAGGAAATACTAACGCCGGTTTACTTTAGAAAGTATAGAAAATAAATGATCAGAAACAAAAAGCAAAGATAGAAAATAATCCAGACTTAGTATTTATTCACAATCATACGACTTCCTGATAAGGACACAATACATGTGATAAAAAAGTATAGAAATAGAAATAAATTCTTTGAACTAATGACAAGGAATAAAAGAATTGCAATTAGATATTTATATAATTTAAGAATTATACCTAAACCCCTATGTGCTGAGAAATACTGAAACTGATATTATGAGTTTGTAGTAAATCATGACATAGAAACTGTTTAATGAAACTATTTTGCACTTACATTAGTCTTTACTCCATTACCTCAAACACCATGCCCAGACAAGCTGTACACATTTTTCAGCATAAAGAAGAATTGAATAAAAGAAAGAATATAATTTAATAATATTACTGAATCATTGGAGCTGTTTTCCTTGTAATATTTTAATATTCACTATCAAAATCTAGTTTTAGTATAACTTAAAAGTAACAGGAATTACAGGTACCTTTTAATATCCACATAAGTTGTTTTTAAACATCTGGTTAATATTTATTGCATTTATTAATATGTAACTATTTTTAGAGAAGCAATAGCTGTTTGGGAAACAAGATTACTAGAAATATAGGACTGGTACCAATAGTAGTAGAACAAACAGGCAGGGGTGACCGTGCATATGATATTTACTCAAGATTGCTCAAAGAAAGGATTATTTGCCTTATGGGACCAGTCCATGATAATATGAGTTCCCTTATAGTTGCTCAATTACTGTTTTTGCAGTCAGAGTCTTCCACAAAACCCATTCATCTGTATATAAATTCACCAGGAGGAAGTGTGACTGCTGGATTGGGAATATATGATACCATGCAGTATATATTGCCACCTATTTCTACTTGGTTAGTATTTGAACCTAATATTAGAAATAATTAAAAATTAAGTATATAAAGTTTTTCTTCCTTTCCCCATTTTTAGTGATATTTGTCCATTTGGTCACAATTTACAATGGTACAGTGCATCTTTTAAACATACCAGTTTTGTATTTGATAGCTTTTTGATCCTGATCTTTTATCTATCTGAGTACTAACCTCATACTGCTTCAAATATTTTTACAAATTAAAATATTGCCAATTGCATATAATACACATTTTTGGCACTATTATCTTCTTGTAGTTCCCAATGCAACCAACTTTTTGTCTTTATAATGCAAAAGTGTCTATCTTTTGGTGCACAGTCATGTAGAGTGTGCGCAAGCACTCTTGACCACGGCGCAGTAGATGAAATTTGGTTTAGTCACCACTTCCGTGTGAAACGCATTGTACTATGCACTGTATAATTCCATTTACCATAGAACCTTTCTGCGCACTATAACTAATAATATTTCTGATATTTTCCAGTATAAAACAATTCTATTGACTTTAATAGGATTTACCTTCTGGACTACATGCACATTTGTAGATAGTCTTTTACCTTGCAGCTTCCAATCTTAAACATGATTCAGATATGAGGTATTTTATTAGGTATATTGTACCTATTGAGGTTAACCCTAATCAGTGGGTTAATTGTAGGTAGTAAAATATTCTCTTTTTCTTTTGATGTAGTGTTTTTCAATGTGCCTGTAGTAAGTTGTTGTTCTTTTGTTTCTATGGTCTTCTTACTGATCGTCTTCCTATTGGAGAACTGTCTCTTGCCATCTCTACTACTCGTATTTATTGTCATTAGTTTTATATGATCATTCCATTCTGCTCTTCATTTTCTTGCCCAGTCCTTGATGTTCTCCACCTTTATCATATATCTGTACTTCTAGTTCTGTCCCATAGTGTTTTAGAACAAATTTTTTTAAGTGTTTGCATCTCTGCTATTTCTAACATTGTTTTGGTCCTTTCTGTGTCAGGTTGTGTTTCTGCTGCATGTCATTCTTGGTGTAATGACTGTTTTTTAAATTCTGCCTTTCATTTCTTTTCCTATATTTTTATTTCTCCATATTGTTTCATTCAGGCAACCTGTGGCTTTGTTTTTTCTATTTACTTGATCTTCTACTTCTGTTTCAAGCTCTCCGTAGCTAGATAATATGATGCCTAGATATATAAACTTCATTACTTGTTCTATTATCTGACCTTCCAGCTCCAATTGACATCTTAGTAAATTTGCTGGTTATTACCATGCATTTTGTCTTTTTTGGGGAAATTAATTTGTTAAATTTTCTGGTGGTTATATTAAATTGGTCCAGCATACATTGTAAATCATCTTTACTTTGAGAGAGTAGTATTACATCATTTGCATAGCAGATTGGCTATGCATGCATTTGGTATCCTTTTTTAGTTCTTACTTTTTTTATTACTTCAACCATAATCAGGTTGAGCAATAGAGGACTCAGAGAATCTTCCTGTCTTATTCCATTGCCAGCTTCAATAGGCTCAGTTAGTTCTTCTACTTTTACTTTTATTGTGTTTTGCTAGCTATTTTCAATCATTTTGATTATTCTAGGAATAATCCTAAAGGTAGCAAAGCCATTCTCTAATATTGAACAGTGGCTACAATTTATGCTGTATTGCTTTCTTGAAAGGATATTTTCATTTAAATGGATTTTTCGTTCCCTGTGCTTTGTGACAATATTCATAACATTCTTATGTTCACTCTAACCATCTTGTAGTTTGATCTTCTAGTTATAAAACTATAAAAAGTCCTGCACACAATTACCTATTGCACATAATCTTCATTTTCGGCAACACCCCTTTACATCTTTACAGTACACCCAATATAACTGTTATAAAACCCTTTGTAATATTTTCGTGATGTCTAAGTTTCCAGCTAATGGACCATCATGTAACTAATGCAATGTTTGACACTTAACTTTAGGTACATTCAGGCATAGTTTAGATTACTTACTATATTCATTTTCAATTCTGCACATAGATCATTTTTCAATACCAAGCCACTTTATTGGCTCCTATTGTCTATAACTTGGAGAACATGATATGGATAATTTCCTTGGGCATCGTATGACCATATTTATTAGTTTATTTATACTATTTGTATAAGTACATACCTATTTGTTTTTAAACAGTTCATTAAACAAAATTTAGTTATCCATATTTTGCTTATCATTATACTGATTCAATTTTCTTTTAAATAGGTGTGTTGGACAAGCTTGCAGTATGGCATCACTATTATTAGCTGCTGGTACTCCAGGTATGAGACATTCCCTTCCAAATGCTAGAATTATGGTCCATCAACCATCTGGTGGTGCACAGGTAAGATCACTAATTTCTTGAAGAGTTAAGTGTATGGATTATTTTTCCTTATATTGTTTTCCAAAAATCTCTCCATTAATTTCTGCTTCATTGTTACTCCAGGTTATCTGAACTGTAAAGTTATTTCTTTATCACTTATTTTTCCACTTCCACTTGGGATCTTTTCAATTCTTCCATTGTACAATAAATTTGGAACACTATTTTTAAACTATAGTTTTTTAATTATTCTATATTTCTATTTTCTATAATTTGTATAACATAGATAAATTTAAAATCTACAAGGAATCTATGTTCCTGTAGTTGGCTGTATACCATATATTAAAAAAAAAATATTAAAAATCCTTTATAAAAGGTATATATTTAAAAACCCAATGGGGCTATGTTACACACATCCAAAAACATTTTGTGTAACATAGCTCGATTGTGTTTTTAAATATATAACATTTGTAAAGGATTTTTATAAATTTTTTTTATAGATACTCTTAATTTTATTTTTTGCTTAATTTCTACATTGTTAATTTTTTCTTTCTGGAAGCAGTCTGTTATACAATGGTTGTACCACATCCAATTAGCTTATTGTACATTTTACATTTATTCATGATATTCATAGTCTCTAAAAATTATTTGCTGCCTATGACTTAGTGGCTCGCAGTCATGAAAAATCTGTTTCACTGTTTTGAGTTATATGCCACAAAGTCTGCATGAATCAGCTTCATTGTGTGCAGGTGTCCCTTAAATGGAGCATGTTCAGTCAGAAAGCTTAATGGTTGTGAAATTATTCCTGTCATTTTCCATTGTACTTCAGCCCTATTAGGACATGTCTGTCTAATATACATTTTACCATGAAGCATGCTTTTCATTTGAAACCTATTCAGCTTATCTCTGGTGGTCTTTTATTGACATTTAAACCACCATACTACCCATACACAAAATGAAAAGCTTCTCTGTATTGGATATTCTTTCTAGATGGCATGCTATGTAAGCTGCTTATTTAGTATTACTCCAGATATTTGACCTCATTCACCTCTTTGACAGCTTCTCCATACAAAGTGGGCATCCAGATGGTATCTAGATTCCATCTCCTTGTGAAACTGACTACTATGGTTTTACTAATATTGACAGAGTTTTTCTCTATTGCACCACCTAGTAAGGATGACTTCTTTTGTATGTAAAGATAAACTATTCTGCAGTTCATTCTTTACCTTTTCATGTAATGATTATTTGTAAACAGTTGTTTATCTATTACTTTTGTTACATACTATTTTTATGACTTGCTCAAAATCATTCATATATTACACCTACTAATTAAGTTCACAGTGTAACTTGAGTATTTAACTCAAGTTAAATTAAGTGTAAGCTAATTATTGTCCAACTCACAACAAATATACCAAGCTTTCAAGGCTTTTCAGCGTTTTTCAATCACATAATATTAATACTACATAGCCAGTAAAATTTGATGCTTTCCTACTCATAAATTTTTATGACATTTAAAGACATTAAAATCTTTATTTTTAATAAATAGTAAATTATATTTGTTTTTAGGGCCAAGCAACAGATATTCAAATCCAAGCACAAGAAATTATGAAATTAAAAAATCAAATAAATCAACTGTATGTTCGACACACCGGACAAGAATTGACAGTTATAGAAAAAAGTATGGAAAGAGATTATTTTATGAGTCCAGATGAAGCCAAAAAATTTGGACTAATAGATAAAGTGCTTGTGAAACCTGCCAAAAATGAAGTAGAGTCTGCTGAAGCTGAAAATGTAGATTAAATATATTTTTCGTTTGTGTATATTGTTAATATTCTTCTAAGTTACAAAATTCTGTTAATGTCTTCTTTTATTTGTATTTAAGTATTTGTATTTTCATATTAGCCAACATTAAAATAAATAGTTTATTATAAATTCAATTTTTTTCAAACTGTTGTTATTATTTATTTTAAAATACTTATTTTTAATGACTCATTTGAAAAATGTTATATGTATTTAACTTATTTTCTCTTGCAGGGGTCCCAACCATTACTTTTTTTCTGGAAACATCTTAAACCTTTACAGAAGTCTGAGGCAGAATTCTTATTTTTGTTTCTCTTCTATTGATCTTCCAGTATTTGCAATCTTGAATTCATGTATTTTTTCTGTTTTTCTTATATATAGTATAATAATAAAATATTCACCACATTTTTCCTCTAGGCTATCAAACAAAGTAGATGTTCTGAATACTCTACTATTGTGGACAGATCCAGAGAACCAACAAAATGTCCTTTATTTTTTTCCTTGCGCTTAAAATAAAAAGGAGGTAATTTAATATTAACAATTTCCATTAATTAAGATAACGTACATTTTAAATTTGTACGTAGCAAAGTTCTTCTTCTTATCATGGCGCCGTCTCCTTTCGAAGGTTGGCGATCCAAATGGCAATTGCAATTGCTGCGCGAAAAATTTCTGCGGTATGAGCGGTCGAACCATCTCCTCAGGTCTTTCAGCCAAGAGTTCTGGCGTCTTCCTACTGATCTTTTGCTCTCTACTTTTCCTTTCAGTATAACTTGAAGTAATTCATATCTTTCCGCCTCTCAACACATGACCCAAGTATTGCATTTTCCTCTCTTTGATTATTCTTAGTAATTCTTTTTGTTTACACATGCGACGAAGTACCTTAACATTGGCGACTCTTTGTACCCATGGAATTCTCAACATTCGTCTGTATATATACATCTCAAAGGCATCTATTCTTTTTTCTACCGCAACTACCGCATTTATTATATTTTGTAGTTCTTGTGCGTTGCTTGCTATTAAAACAGCATATCTGATGTTGTCTATGCTGATTACGTTAATCTTAATTCCGCCTTGAACCTCGTTTAATGTTTCTCTGAATATAGACTCCGAATACAAATTAAACAGTAGCGGTGATAAGACGCAACCCTGTCTCACTCCTCGTCGGATTTGTATATCTTCAAATGTTGTGTGCTCCCTTTCGATTGTTGCCGTTTGGTGCCAGTATAGTTGTGAGATAATTAGCAAGTCTTGTTCGTCAACTCCAGTTGTTCTCAGAATTTCGATCATCTTTTGATGGTCAACGCAATTAAATGCTTTTCGATAGTCAATAAAACATGCATATATATCTACATTCATGTCTCTGCATAATTAAGTTAACACATTTAAAGCAAAGCCTTGTGTTCCCAATCGGTTTCGAAATCCAAATTGAGTGTCACTCATCTTGAACTCGCACTCCTTGTAAATTCGTGTATGGATAATTCCGAGAAATGTTTTAAGGACACGAGACATCAAGCTTAATATTCGATAATCATCGCATTGTGAGGAATTTGATTTCTTTGGTAATACTATGAATGTTGATTTTAGTCAGTCTGTTGGTATTTTACCTGTGTCATATATCTTATTGAATAGTGCTGTTATTAAGTCTAGGCTTTTACTTTTGTTATCTGCAATTAGTTTTAGTATTTCGACGTTGATATTTTCTGGACCGGTGGCTTTTCCATCTTTCTGAGATTTTACTGCGTGAATCACTTCTATTTTGGTTATTTCTGGTCCTTTTTCATTTATTCGATTATCTGTGGATGGTGGAGAACAAGGTCTATCGTCGTCAAAAAGAGTTTGTATGTATTCTTTCCATCTCCATAGTTTGTCTTCTGTACCCATAATTATTTCATTATTATCATTTTTTAATATTGTTGCTTGTCTCATTTTGTGTCTTACTTGTCATTTCTTTTACTTTTTTATGAATATTAAAGGTGCCGTATTTTTCCTGAAATTGTTCGATTTCTAGACATTTTGTTGACATCCAGTTTTCTTTCACCTCCCTGCACTTTTTTCTAATGATTTTATCATGGACGTATAAATGAAGAACGTCCATGGATTTTATTGATTCGCTTGTATTCTATTGGGCTTGTTTTATGTTTTCATCTTACGTCCATGACCTCTTGTGTTATCCATTCTTGTTTTTTGTTATGTTCTATGAACCCGATATTTTCTTTTTGTATCTTTGTTATTTTGTTTTTAGAGCAGTCCATGTTACTTCAATGTCCTTCTTCTGTACCAAGTTTTCGATCGTTTTTATTTCTTCCTCAATCTTGATACTTATTTCTTTTTTCTATTCAGGGATTTTCAGTTGTGAGATGTCTATTTTTCTTGTCACTGTTTTCTTTTTGACTTTGAGAAATCTTTTTAATATAAAATCCATTATAACTGGATTGTGATCGCTGTGAATATTACCTCCAGGGTATGCTTTCGTAGATTGTATGTACTTCTTAAAGGTGTTATTGAGCAAAATGAAGTCAATTTTATTTCTAACAATTCTGTCTTTTTTGTCTGCAGGTGATTTCCATGTGATTGAAGAAGGTATTGGCTATTAACAGATTGTTTTCTACGCAGAATTGTACAAGTTTATCTCCTCTATTATTCATGTTATCTAGACAGTATGCTCTTATGTGGTCTACTTCAGCACCACGACCTATCATCGTTATCTCACCTCTTTGTCAGTCGCATTATTTCATCTTTGTTGCTATAAAAATTTTCGATTTCTTCGCCTGATTTTTCACTTGTTGGAGCATAGACCTGAATAATATTTAGTTTTCTGTGAGTTGTTTGTAATTTTAACATTGCTACTCTATCATTTAGAGGGATGAAGTCTGTGACTGATTGAGCAATTTTGTTCGACACTAATATAGCAGTTCCATATTGATGTTCTGGGTCGGTTCCACCTGAATAATATATGTATCCATGATTTGTTTTTTGTACTCCTGAACCATCTTACTTCACTCATCCCCAAGATGTCTATTTTTAGTCTCACCATCTCGGCTTCAGTGTTTGCCAGTTTTCCGGACATCAATAAGCTGCGTACGTTCCAGGTGGCATTACTTACTATTCAGTCGTATATTTGTGTTCTCTGTTCACTTTCTTGGGTAGTTGACGGGGGGATTTTTCGCACCCTCTCCTCATTTAAGGGGTGCCCCGGACTGAGGGCCATTTTCCTTTTCTCGTCTGCCATTTAGATTTGTGGAAAATATAATGGGTTGGTTTTCCCGTCGCCTTCCCCATCGCAGTAACACAACCATTTAATGTCATGTTTGTGGTAATTCAGTTTCAAGCCGGTCCAGAATAATTTCCTCTACACCTTGAACTGGTACCGATGATCGCTGCTGCCCTTCAGCAGGGAGGAATAGGAAGTAGAAAACTAGATTTTGGAAGGATAAAGGAAAGGGGCATAATTTCTCCCAGTATGGAATTGAGAGCAAAGCATGGCTTGCGTGCGCAGGGACGCTTCGCTGAAGTAGACAATTCTGTCTTTTTTGTATGCAGGTGATTTCCATGTTAAATGTAGTATTTTGTTTATGGGATTGAGCCACAATTGAATATTCAATCAATTTGATCTATGTTGATATGCCAAGCCAACTTCACTCTAGTGGTTGCAAACGAAGCTCAAAGATGAGCCGTCAGTAAGTCTGGCCACTACAGTGGTCATGTTCTTTGTTAATTGATCTAAGGGCCAGTGTTAAACAATTGTAAGTACACTTTTCATAATAGATGGTAAAATATTAGACCAATAATATCTCAGTAAAAATCTCAATTATATTTTGTTTTATTTTCTTGGTTGGTCAAGTTTTCTTTGATTTCTGACAATTTATAATTTTGGCACTTAGATCGGCCACCCTTCACTTGTAGGTGTAATGAAAATTACGTTTCTTAAATGAAGAAATGTAATTGAACACAGAAATGTAATTGTCATTGTCATGTAAAGAAATTTCTTTGAAGAAATGTAATTTTGATTAAATCAACAATTCTGGCTCCATCTCATAAAAATACTACAATTTATAAGTACTTACTTGAATCGAATAAAAATGCTTTCTATTTAGATAGGAATCAGGATCCTCCTGCGGTTTGTTTATTTTGATATGGGTTTCATCTATTATACCCATAATTCCTGGAAATTATATATATACATGTATATATATATATGTCGAAAGAAAATGCAAAAAAGTATTTTTGAAGTGTGTATATTTTAGGCAATTCCTAGCTGAGCGCTTTCGGCTTTACAAAGCCATCATCAGAGCTATGGTCAATTTTTAAATACCACTACAAAGGAGAGATCTCATTTCCTTAAGTTTCACAATTATGATTTTGTAGGAGTTGGAATTTTTTAAAACATATAAAAAACATATAAAAGGACGACACTGGACGTCACAAACACGTTAAAAAATTGAAAAATTTTTTTTTTTTTTTTTTTTTGTCATGGTACGGGTTTAAGACCCGACCATCTATTGATGTGAGGATGTAGACTGAATAGATGTTCTATTCAGTCTACATCCTCACATCAATAGATGGTCGGGTCTTAAACCCGTACCATGACAAAAAAAAAATAAATTTTCAATTTTTTAACGTGTTTGTGACGTCCAGTGTCGTCCTTTTATATGTTTTTTATATGTTTTAAAAATTCCAACTCCTACAAAATCATAATTGTGAAACTTAAGGAAATGAGATCTCTCCTTTGTAGTGGTATTTAAAAATTGACCATAGCTCTGATGATGGCTTTGTAAAGCCGAAAGCGCTCAGCTAGGAATTGCCTAAAATATACACACTTCAAAAATACTTTTTTGCATTTTCTTTCGACTTGTCATAAGTGTGTACAAAAAATATCAGTCTTTTGATATATATATATATATATATTGAAAAGTTGTATTTTATTAATTTTATTTTTATTTATAATAAATGTAATTTTTTAAAATATGTGGTTCGTTGTTTAATTTAATATATACCTCAGCTAGCTCAATTATATGTTCTAAGCAATCTGTAACTGTGTGACGTCGACTCTGTAGTCTCCTGGTAGAGTTCAAAAAGAAATTAAACCAAAATTTACTTTAGACTTTTGATAAATTAACCCAAATGAAGCACGT